ATCCCTTTGGACCAACTGAATGTTCAGAAGGGAGGAAGGGCTGGAGGGAGGGAGGCAAGGCGGGCGGGGAGCCCCTGGCAGGTTACATGATTTTATGTCCTTTTCTCTTGTTCTAAAGCCGTATCACACCTGAAGGCAGAAAAGCGCTCCCTACAGAAGTGTCTGCGTGCTGCCACACCGTGAACAGGCAGACGGGAGCCCACCTCCCGGCCGGGCACTTTCCTACAGACACACCCATCTGACACTCACGGCTGCCCCGGGACACGCCCCCATTCTCTGGAAAAGGATTGGAGGCTCAAAGTCAAGGTGTCACGCGCAGAGAAAGTGGCAGAATTAACTGGCTGATAGCAAACGTGTACTCATACACATATTTTCATGCCACTGCAGATGTTTTAAAAATAATTTTTCCAAGTGACTGATTTGTCACGTACATAGATGGACATTTGGACTGTCTATCACATGAAATGAACGTTCTAGTTTTCTACTGTTGATTGACACATGATTGCACACTTACTGGCTTAAAACAACGCCCATTTCTTACCTCACGGTTATGCACGTCAGAAGCCTGGGGTGGGGGAGTTCTGCCTCTGGAGCCTCAGGAGGTGAAAACCAAGGGAGCGCTGGCAGCACAGAGCCCTGGGCTGGGTCCCTATCTGGAGCACGGAGACATCTTCCAAGCCCATCCAGGCTATTGAAAGAATTCAGTCCCTTGGGGGTGTAGGACTGAGGTTCCTGCCTTCTTGCTGGCCGTCCACTGGGGACATTCTCAGCTCCTAAAGGACACCCACCATGCCCTGCCCAGTGGCCCTCTTTACGACATGGTGGTGTGATCCCTTAAGGCCAAAGGGAGTATTTGCTACAGCGAAGAATTCTGACTTCCTCCATCCTGACCTTTACTTACACCTTTTAAAAGGGCATAAACATTATTATCAATATTTTTGTGTATAGTTAGACCAACCAGGGAAGTTTCCTTTTTGATTCATTCAAAATCAAGTGACTAGGGGTGTTGACTACTTGTACATCCGCCCTTTTGCCTTATAGTGTAACAGGACCATGGAGCCACACCCCATGACAGTCACAGACTTACTTTGCACACACAAGGACGGGTATAATTAAGGCTTGTACGCTGGGAATAAAAATACTGGGGTTGTCACACATCTCTGCCTGTCATCGTCCGTCTGCTGGCCCCCCTTGCTCTCTCTGCCTCCCAGGTGCAAGATGCACTCACGCTTCCCCAAGGCTCGAAAGAGCGTCACCTCATTACAGCATCAACCTGAAGTCCCAAATCTCCTCTGAAGTCAAACCAGATCAAAGTCCAAACCGTCACCACCTCCGTCACCTAAATATGGCGAAAATGGACCTCCTGAGAGCAGACCTCGAAGGAGCCTCGGCTTCCGGCCCTGGAGGGTGGTTCCTCCCCACGCATGCATGCAGTCACGAAACCAAAGAGACAGGCCACGTGCCCCACCGCTCCCAGCACGCAAAGGTGGGACAGGCAACAGAAAGCAGGCGTAGGGACTCTGGCTCACGGGCGGAGAGAACGGAGAGCACGCCGGAGTCGCTGGCCCACGACCATTTGGAAACGCAGCAGGGGGACTGCTGGATTTGCCCTGGCTGTGCTGCGGGTTCTAGGACTTGGCCCTCTGAAGCTGCGGGTGGGCTCCGCCCTCCAGGCCCCTGCATCTGCCCTCAGGACCGTCCTGGAAAGGCAACAGGTGTTTGTGGCTGAGTAGTTGTGCCAGAGTGCTCCACACCGCTGGGACCTGGGGTTTCTGACAACCCCTTTGTACAGGGTGCCCTCTGCCCCTTTCCATCCAAGCTGACGGTGTTTCTGCTGAAATAATTTTCTCAAGAACCTCATGGGCCTTGCTTGAAATTCACTAGGTTTTGTTTGCTTACACAAAAGTCACACCCATAAATCTGTCTGAGATCCCTCTCTCTCTCTCCTGGGCCCCTGCTGTGATGGCTCAGGCTCAGTGCCTTTAACTCTCCGGGAAGCCCTCTACTCTGAGAGCAGGCCGGTTAGGGACCATTTTAACTTCTCAGAAGGACCTGTTAGTCACTGACACTGTGATCTTCGGATGCTCCTGATGGTAGTTAAGCAAAGGTTGGGTGGTTACCACGTTTAATACATTCTAGTCTTCATTTCAGGGTACATTTACATATTAAATAAGTTATCTTTGTTAAAGAATATACATCAAATTTAAGATGTAAAAATGGGGAGGTCTCTTTTGGGGTGCCCCTATGTGTGCCCATCTCCACTGGACACGTACGAAAACCAAACCACGTAGGCAGAGAGACGCGGAATGACTTTGTCTCAGTCAAAGCTTAGTGTAACTGGATGATGATGATGGTATATGCACAGTGTGATATCACTCAGCATTTCTTATATAAGAAAGAAATTTAAAGAACCACAGATCCTCATCAGTCTTAGAGTTGGAAGGGACCTCGGGGGTTAGCCAGTCCTTTCCCCAGTCCAAGAAAGACACGTCCCTACACCGTCCCCAGCAGATGACAATCCGTTTTCAGATCGAATCGCGCCCGTAGCCTCTATCAGAATGCACTCAGTTTTGGAATGATCACAGCTCCTATGAGCTAGACTTTTTTTTCCAAAAACTGGACTCAAATATTCTCTTATAATGAATTTAACAAACCATCGTACCACTCAGATATTAATGCATATCATCCGATACAAGTCTAAGATAGTTATTACATTTTGAACAAAAACAAATCTCTGAGAAAAACATTCCTTCTCCTTTTGGCCCTTTCTCACGGTTGCAGATGCTTCTGCATCCTGGCCAGCCTCTTCGCACAATCCCCCTCCTCCTCCTCATCAGTACCACCCGGAAAGGAGCAGGCTACCCAGCCTGCATCTGGACCGGCACGGCTTCCCATAGGATTCTCCTTTCTGAGCTGTTTATTGCCCTTCTCTAATATAAGCTAATGCTGCATAAGATTTTTTTCTCAATTATGTAAAATGGCTTACACTGGGTTTAATGAAATAAACACTTAGGAGGTCCTAGGAGTTGGGGTTCCCCTACACTATTTCCATTTACTTGATATTTGAATTGTCAGAGTATGTCTTTTCATTGCACTCTACTGTAGTGTATGGTGTAGCTTTGACAACTATTTCAGACTTGTTTGATATTTTTAAAACTTGGTATCATCTAAAATATTAGTGAGCCTTTCTATATTTGTCATTTAGACTGGATATGAGTTCTCAATACATTATTGTCTAAGAGTAAAAAGAATATGAAATACACGTGAACTCCTTATCACAGGCACATCTGTGGGGGATGGTAGAGCAATCAGCAGGAAAAGCACCAAATGTGCTGTGATAGCCTGAATATCTTCATATTCTGCTCCAGAAAATGATAAGAATTTTTTTGATTTTTGGCCAAATACCTTGCTGAAGTAAAAATGAACTACTTCTAACATTTTGATCAACTCATGAAATGAATACATAGATAGCAGCCCACTGTTAAATCTGCAATAATCCTGAGTAAGATATTTAACACTCTCCCTGATGGCATCAAGATTTAGAAAGACGGAGTGACATTCAGGACATCTGGTGTTCCAGAATTCTCCAACCGGGTAACGAGAGAGCAACTGGAGGCCCAAACTGTTTATTCACTCTATGAAAGAACTGTCTGATAGATTTAGCATTCATGAATTTAAAAATATTATCTGCTGTGCCTATCACTGAGAAACTCCTGAAATTTCAGATGTATTTAAAACTGTATAGCTTCAAATTACAAGGTGCCAATTTGATAAAGGTAAATTTCTCAGGTTTTCTATTTCTATACATTTATTAAATATAAATTATTCATGGTTTTTAAAGAACATTCTAAATATATATCTACTAATATGACTCATTATTTGTTAGAACATAATTTTCTAAAATCGCTGTGTTTTGCACCTATGTCTGGGTATCACCCATTGTGCCATTTTAAATATATCCTGAAACTTTTTTCTACATATCTACTCCCTTTCCAAGCCATCCTCTCTTTTTGCCTACTCTCATAGAAACTACAAGAGAAGCATGCTAAAGAGAACCAACCAAATGTTCCTCTGTAGGTTGTTCATATTTGCACTCGAACGTCACCAGAAACTGCTGTATCCATTCTGTAAGCTTTGTAAGAGTTCAGCCCAAGAGAGAGAACTTATCATGTCCCAGCTGAGCAGTGGGAACTGTTTTAAGCAGGACTATGAGTAGTCAGAAATTCAATATGGAACTCTGTCTCGACCTAGCTATTCCACTTCTGGGAACATATCCGAAGAATCCCGAAACACCAATATGAAAAGAACTTCCGCACCCCCATGTTCATAGCAGCGCTAGTCACAACAGCCACGAGCTGGAAGCAGCCCAAGTGCCAAAGAGCAGATGAGTGGATAAAAGGGCTGTGGCACATTTATACAATGGAATACTATGCAGCACTAAAAAGGGAACTCCTCCCTTTTGTGACAGCATGGGTGGACCCAGAAACTAGTATGCTAAGTGAAATAAGCCAGGCAGAGAAAGACAAATACCACATGATCCCACGTGTATGTGGGATCTAATGATCAAAATAAACTAACGAAGGAAATAGAAACAGAAGCACGTGGAACAGACTGACAGCTGCCGGAGGAGGGGCGGGGCTTGGGGTGCACTGGATGAAGGATGGTGACGAGATTAAGGAAAGCACATCAGTGGTGACCCAGGGACCGACCACGAAGTGGGGACTGACTTAGGGAGAGGACAGTGTGGGCCTGAGCGGAGGGGGGGCTAGGGAGAGAAAGCAGGAATGTAGTGGCATACACAATACGCAATAAAAAAGAAATACATAGAATGTTCCAGGTAGCTCTCTGCTGTCGCTGGTCCCAACGAGGGCAGGGGACTCCCCATGATACTGGGGGCACAGCCTGCGCTGCCCGAACCACCAGGAGGAAACAACTCGGGCGCCTGGGGGGCTGGCCCGGCCCTGCCCTGGGAAGGCCCGGCAGCCCGAAGGGAGGCTTACGTTCTTGAAAGGACGTGAAGAGCATCTGGAAGCGGCTGTTGCGGCTGCCCTCGTCGGCCCACAGGCGGATCACGCCCAGGCCCGTGCGCAGCATGACGTCGTTGGCCACCGTGCTGCAGAACTTGGCCTTCAGGTCCTGCACCGCGCTGCTGCCGTCGTACACGGCCACGAAGTTCCTCTTGCACTCGTTGGAGTTCTGCATCTCGTAGTCCAAGAACCGCAAGTAGATCTGCAACAAGCAAGGGGGTGATCATTTCCCAGGAGCAAAAGAAGAAAGCTCCGTCGGTGCCGGAAGTCCCTCTTGCTCAGCCTCACAAGCCCGTCTTGATTGCAATCAACCTTATTATTGTCCCCCGGGGATGGAAAGAAGGAAGGACGGATGAGCAAGTTCACATTGTGGGGAACGTTTCTTTCAGATGTTATTATCCTTTCTTTATGTAAATGCACCATTTTCCACGGCTGAGTATTTTTACCCAAATGATCCTATTTCTCCTCATCACTTATCTAGAATGAGTTATGAGTTCTCCCCGTTCTGCTGTTTTATTTGGGTCAGCACAAACGTGTAAGAGATGCTCCTGACGCAGTCCTGTTAAATACATTTCGTGACCCCCACTTCCGGAAATGCACGGGTAGGAATAATTTGTGTTAACACCAAAGGGAAGCAGAAGGGTATCAAAGGGTGGCTGCTGGCTGGACTTGGATGAAATTGATTCACATAACTAGACTGCTTCGCTTTTGAGATAGACTATATTTAAAAAAAATAAAAGGTAGCTAACCTGCTATTATTTTCACCATAATACAGTCAAGCCACTTAGCTAACTCCACATAAATACCAATTACATCAACATTCAATGAGTAAAAACTATTGTGCAAACGACTTTATAGAGTATTTTTAAAGATTCCTGACAACTCTATAAAGTTTTATTGCCGTAGGCAAATGAAAAACTCAGACAATGTAAATTTGACATTAGACATGAGGTCCCTCTGACCCCTGACCCATAACCCTTCCACTCTGTCACGCTGCTTCACGATTCTTCTTATCACCCACAGTTCAGATTTGACTGTGTGTCAATGTGCATTAAAAAATGACGAGCAATTAATTCAACCAAAGGTAAGTTTAAAAAGAAGTCATCTGCCCCTTTTCCCACTGATACGGCAATATCTAGACCATGGGCTCTTCCTCCGTCTCAGACCAGATTCGGGGCTCTGAGGCCCGGGGTGAACACGAGTGTCCACTGAGTCACGGTACAATGATGCATGTCAGGCTGCGAGCGGTGAGGACTCAGGTGCCACAAGAAGTCTGTCTGGGCAGGTTCTGGAATCAAGAAGGTGCCTCCTAAGCCTTTTACATTTTTTAAAAACAGGAATGCCTATCAGCTATTTCCTCTTAAATGCCCTTTTATGAATGCATCTCCTATAAACTGAAGACATGCATTCAATGAAAAATTAAACTCTTTTATCACCCCATATTCCTGTCTTTCTTATTTATTTTATTATCTGTGGACCTCATAAGACAAAGGTTTCCCAGGTCCAGTATGCCTGCCCCTGCATTAAAAAGTATTATTATTTCAATTGAAAGAAATTTCTCTTTTCCCTCCATGTTCTCATTGGATGGGACACCAGTTCTTGGGAATTTCACCCTCAGGCTCGTGGCTTTCCATCCCCACCGACACTTTGGTGATAGTCCAAGTTTCCCAAATGTCCTGGGTGTTTTTCCAGTTCACCCCCAATGCCTGTCCCAGTCAAAGTTATATTAATATTTCTAAAAAGCAAACCTAATAACCATACTCAAATCTTTAACTGGCTTCCAAATAGTCATAATGAAAAAACTTTAAACACCACAAACTGGCAAAATATCCTTCCTCTTATCTCTGAACATCACACAATGATTTTCATGTACATAAATAAGTTTTCCATGAAGTAAGCATTTCCCATTCTCTAACTACCAACTTCTTAAGAAGTTTCAAGGTCTAGTTCAATGGCTGATTGGAAACTCTGTTTTCTTTATTGACTTCATTTGTTCAGGACCAATCACATACTTATAGGACACCTACCTGCCATTGTTTCAAGTGCTATACATAACGATAGTTACATAGAATAAATGACATTTTTATTATTTGTATGCAATGACTTTCAAAACAATGTATTTATAACCCTAAACTATAACATAAAAGCAAAAGACAATATGTTGCAGAATTACACAGAATACTTATCATAACCATTTTTCAAAATGAAAAAGGACAGAGATTCAGACAGACGAAGTCACTTTCTCAAAGTGACACAGCCCCTAAGATCAGCACCGACTTAGACCATCATGAAAGGTCCGCCCCCCTCAGTATCACACTGCACGGCCTCACGTGCACTTGTCAAACATTCTCCCTGGCTTCCATTCCACAGAGAACGTTACAATCGTAAAGGGAACGAGCTGCGACAAAATTAATAAGGGAGCACAGCCATCTCCCTTTTCCTAACGGGGCCAGGAAACAAGTTGATGATCGAGATATAAATGAGATTCCTGGAAAATAAATGCGTCCCTCTGCAATAAATGTTCTCCAAAGATGAAGCGATTGCAGAGAAGGCTACTGCTGTGGTTAGAAAGGCAATTTGCATATCTGGCCCGTGCTTTCTCGCTGGACAGCCCTAGAGCGGGTCCGCGTTCTCCCTGAAGGGAGACGGATTGGCACCCTTACGTGAAGTGCTCAGCCGAGGTCTGAGTCCCCTCCACATTGAAAGGCCCTTTGGATTCGGCAGGACACTAGTTACAGAGGAAGCGAGCAAGGGCAAGGGCTAGATTTTATTGTTCACTTCTGAAGTATTCAATTGCTTTTCACCTTCTTCTTTCTCGTCATCCAAGAAAAGAAAGAAAGCACACCCGTGGGTATTTCGCTTTCCCGGGTGCAGGGCTGTCCCCGCAAATGTCGTTAGCCAGAAAAGTGACCCAGCTCCGGTGGCAGTCTTACAGAAGCCCCCCCCCCGGTCCCCCACATTTGTGACTTCAGCAGCATCTCAGCAGCGTGAGGCTTGTGCCATAAGGTCGCTGCGGGGAAGGATGCCTTCTGACCACGTGTCTACTTAAGGGAGAAAATGGCAGAAAGCGCGTCAGTCTCTCTGCGGAAGGAGAGAGAAGAGGGTCAGCAGAATCCTCTATCACTCCCCTGAAATGGCCCGATTACCATCTCCTCTCACGGGATCATTCGGATGCATTCTTCTTTCGAATCAATCACGAAGTTTGAGCTGACAAAATGATTTATTAAACAGGACTTGGGAAGCTTCGGAAGATATGAGCAATTTCTAGTGATATCTGTCTTCCAGTCGCACTAATAAGGGGAGAAGGGTGCTGTTGCATACTCACAGGAAGTCAGTCGAGCTAACAACTTACTAAGTGATATATTTACAGACATTTAGGGGCGACCATGCAACCTGGTGCCTCCCTTCACGTCACGACGATGCGCAGAAAACAGACCCTGTGTGGGGCGGTTCCTGAAGGCTTGCGGGAACGGCTCTCGCCATGGTAACATGAAGTGCACCACGGTCCGAGGTTTCAAAACTTTCCACTTGGGTCAACAGAGCCACACCCTAAACACGGGGGAGCCCAGGGCTCGCACGGCTGCTGTCTGATGTGTGACTGGACATGCCAGGACTTGTCGCTTTAGGTGGGACACCCCATGCGTCCGGAAGGCAGCAGCACCCCGAAGAAAATCAGGACAGCCTCTTCTTTTCTGGGATGTTGAAAAAAAATGCACACCCTCCAGCAAATCCCGACATAACAATGTTAACATGACTTTCTGATAAACAGACAAGTACCCAGTATTTCAGAAGTCCACCGAGTAGCCCTCCAGAATCGGCCAGTACAAAACGGAGATATCATTGAAAAACAGAGTTGAACTGTAACGTGTTCATTGGTAGTTACCTTGCCAGTTAAATTTTTCCACTTTGTTTACCCGATTTTTTCTTGTTTCTTTTTCAAGACAATAAGGGCAAACACAATCTTCAGAACCTTAAAACGTATCATTGTAATCAATTATAGTTACTACCCCTTTGTCTATTGCATTAGTTTTCTCCTCGCTCTGTGACAAATTACCGCAAGCTGAGCGGCTTGAAACAATACCCATTTATCATCTCTGTGGGTTGGAAATACAGGCTGCTGAGGGTGCGTATATGCAACAGAAAACCCAGGTCTCTGAAACCTCTATTTTCCTGGTGACTGTTTACCAGGGCTTGTTTGCAGGTCCTGGAAAACAGTCTTCATTCTTCGGACTCTCTGGCTTCCCCTTTGCCCACAGCCAGAGAAAACGCTGAGTTTTTACAAAAGAAAAAAAAAGCTCATGTGATTAGATTAGGCTCACCTGGATGGACTCTCTTTTAATTAACTCAGAGTGAACTGATTGGGAACCTTAATTGCATCAGCAAAATGCCTTTTGCCAGGAACTTAACATAATCAACTGTGTGATATTTATCTTAGACACAGTCCTAGGGTCTGGGCTGGAAATCTTAGGGGTCATCTTTAAGACTCTGCCCACAACAATGAAGTTCAACATATAATGAACTTCATTTTGAAATATAGTACCACGACTTCACTTTGAAATACTGGCTTATTATATATGTTTTAATTGGATCCTAATTTTATTCAAAACATTTTCTAAATAAGTAACAACATATTCACAATGTATTTCAAGCTTTAAATGATGGGTAATTACTAAAAGCTAGAGTTTTATTCTCCCAAGACGTAAAGTCATTAAATTAGCTACATTTGTGCATTTGTATAAGTGTTTGGTGTACCTATTTTCCTGACTTAACAAATCTGAAAATGTCCCCAAACTGTGGTTTTGTGACATCACCCTAGACTGAGTCAGGAAATAAAGATCTTGCTTCATCACTGCTCCTAACCAAGTATTTAGGCAATCCTTTATTACAGACTCATCAGGTTTCAGTCTTGAAAGGGGTTTAATATTATCTATGCCAAAAATTTACTTGACTTTTTAATTATCATACAAAATCCCTGCCAGACTCTTCTTGGATTCCTGCTGCGGAACTGCATTTGATCTTTGGGCAGCTCGGTTTTATTCAAACAAAACCCGAAAACCTTATCTATATTGAATCAAAAGCTGTATTGCTCCAGTTCCGAGCATTCGAGTAAATTGCAGTGCTCAAAACCGGGCGCATTTAGCTGTATCCTCTTCTTCCTGGGTCCTATCACAGCCCCTCAACTGTGTGAAGATCAATGCCATGTCCGTTTCTCCAGAGGTGCGTGGGCTCCTTTTCTCCATGACATTTCTCTGAATGACAGAGGCTTTTCTTGGCACCGACCAATGAGCCCCACTTTGTGGAATTAACACCCAGGCAGTGACCGTGATGTGATCACCCAACATTCGCGTCTGGACCAGACCCAGAACCGGACAGCATGCCGTCCTTCCACCCTCCTTGCTCTGGAGTCTGTGCGAACCCCCAAGACTTGCTCACAGGGGCATGCCCCCACACCCCTCTGCTAACCCACATAACACTCCACTGCCCTAACTCAGCTCACCCATCTGTCCAGTGAGCTGACGAGCAATGGATTTCCAAAGCTCTCCCTGCCTCTGGCATTCGCGGTTCTAAAAAACTGGACTGCACGGGGTCGTCTATATTACTACTCTCACACTAAGCAGATATCAGATATTGTATGTTCTCTGGTGAAGAGGCTGACTAGCAATCGGTACTGGCCTTAAGTAACCCCGATAAGCACGAGGCTTCCGTCAGCCACCGCCACGCACATTTTCACTGGGAGCCAGTTCTAGTTGGCTGCTTCGCGCTCCGATCCAGCCTGCGCCCCGCCCGGCTGCCCTCCCAAGCCGCGGGGAGCTGCGCCCAAACAGCAGGCCCTCATGGGCAGGCGGCTCCAGGTCGCGCTTTCCGCCAGCTATTCAGAGCCACTTCCCATCCTGGAACCTTTCCTTTCACAGAGGACGCCTGTCACAACGGGGCCATCTCTGTCCGGCCCCTGCAGGCGGCTTCCCCTTCGAGTCACAGGATGCCCGATTCTGAAACAGGCAGGTACACGGGGCACGGCTGTTCTGTTTCTGTACAAAAGGCAATCTGCTTACGAGCTGGCAGACACCGTGTGTGTTTACACTCCCATAAAAACCCGCTCTGTGATAGTGACGGTGACAGAGGTGCTGCCTGTGACACTTAGGTGGGACTCATATGTGTCCAGCGGAAAAAGTGTTCTAAAAACCTTTCATTCATAGAGTTTAAGGAAAATGAGGAGCACTTGCCTGTTGTGAAAAAGCGTAAGAAAGAACAGTCTCCCTGGCTGGCCTAGCTCAGTGGATTGAGCTCGGGTTGCGAACCAAAGTGTCGCAGGTTCGATTCCCAGTCAGGGTACATGCCTGGGTTGCAGGCCATGACCCCCAGCAACCGCACACTGATGTTTCTCTCTCTCTCTCTCTCTCTTTCTCCCTCCCTTCTCTCTCTAAAAATTAAATAAATAAAATCTTTAAAAAAAAGAACAATCTAGCTCCCTTAGAATTGATGGGGTGAGTTGAGTGTTATGGTTGGTACCAACAGCCTTTGATTTTTTTTAAAGGAGAAATTACTGCCTTTCATTGAGATACAATTAATTTTTTAATATATTTTTTAAGTTTTTTATTTATTTATTTTTAGAGAGAGAAGGGAGAGAGAGAGAGAGAGAGAGAGAGAAACATCCATGTGTGGTTGCTGGGGGCTGTGGCCTGCAACCCAGGCATGTGCCCTGACTGGGAATTGAACCTGCGACACTTCGGTTCACAGCCTGCGCTCAATCCACTGAGCTACGCCAGCCAGGGCTGAGATACAGTTAATTTTTTCAAAGATTTGTTCAAACTTGAGGTGACCTGCAGGTGACAAACCTGGAACGGGGCCACGTCTCTGACTCTCCCCACGGGAAGTTCGGGGACAGTGTGCCGCACTTCCAAATTGTATGCAGGCCCCAGGCAAACATATTTGTGAAGACAAAAATATTTCCTGAAACACCAACTTCCTCAAAGGGGACTCCTACTTCCCTTCGTCCCGAACGCCCAGCCACCACATTCCGTGCACCCATCGGTGCCTTTGCCTCACCCGTCCGCCAGCGTAAACCAGCCTCGCCCCCGGGGGTGTCCGCCGGGCTTCCCGGGGCTCTGCTGCTCCCCGGGCCGACCCCTCTGTCCTTACTGCCCGGGGAGAAGGACCTTCCAGAATCCGATCACGTCACTGTCCTGCCACACACACTTCCACGTGCCACCAATACTCCCCTGGGTGCTGTTGACCCCTGGCACCCGGCCTCCTCACGGGTTTGTTTAATGTGCCCGAGATGCGTTGTTTTGCAAGCCCTGGTCAGCTTATTTCTTCGATGTGATCTCAGGCTGAGAAGCATCAGTGTAATTATAATACTTAGAACCACCACTTAAGGATAACAGTTCAATCCATTTTTTTCGGAGGACTGGAATTACAGTGGAGTCTCTTGCTCAGGTTACCCCGTGACCTTCAGCAACACCTCCTTGTTACGTATGACGTGAAGGTGACCGGGGACAGGACGAGACGAGGTGCATTTCAGAACCCAAATAAAACGGCAGCTTGCGGTGGCCCCGAGCCCGCCCAGCTTGCTGAAAGCTGTGCGTGCTGTGACACTCCCCAGGTGGGCTGTCAAGTCTGGGTGTGACCTTTAGACTGACCTTGGATCGCGGAGGCGCCCGGATGTACCACTTGCAATCAACGGCCTCGCCAGCGGAAGCTTTGCCCTCCTTCACAATCTGCACAGACTCCACAATTCCTTCAGGGCCGCCCGTCTCAAACTCACACGCTAGATAACAGAATGCCAGACAAACACAAAAACGGAGCTTGAATCACACACCGAAAGTATATTTCACAGCAGAAAATAAAGACCTCTGAACGTGATTAAATATCTGTTTTACCAACCTGGTAATGGTTTCAAAACGCCAAGGTCCTTAAAGTCAGGATCTTAAAAATTGAGAAAAAGACAATTAATCTTATTCTGCATTTATTAGTTACAATGATGTTGAGTAAGATACCATTAAATGATTCAGGAATCTGACTGAAAGTCCACATTAGGGGAAAGTAAATGCTTAAATAAAAACTTCCTGATAATATTAGGACAGAAATGTTAACTTAGGTAACATTTTGTTATCACTACAGTTTCTATCAATACAGAATAAGCCGTTTTTTTAAAAGCACCCAATGCCAACTCTTTCCCCTAATCATCAAATGTGCATCTCACTCATTATCTCTAACTCCATAATTGGACCACAGATGACTTTGTAAAATATCTCCATCGATAGTTCAAGGTTTGGGCAAACCTTCCTTCCATCTGTTCTAGATGCAACTCTTTTGTCTGATTTAGAAGATTCTGTGAATTGTTGGAAGGTCATCTTCAACTGAAATACTGGAAGCACGAAGTTCACATGTGACACCTAAGGCTTCTCTCCCTTGGAGGACCGCACAATCTTCTCCGCATCAACTCGTCCCCCTGACTTTGCCCTTCAAGGCCCCTGGAATTCTGTGTCCACCCAGCACCCACCCAGCAGCCCCGCCAACCCCCGGCTTCCCCACCTGCGGCGGGCTCGGGCATCTGCCCGTCTGCTCTGCGCATAAGTGTCGCAGAAGCTTGATTTCTCCTGAGTCTCAGCAGAGCTCTGGCTGTTAGAAGCCGGCGTGGGGGCCGCTCCCTTCCATCTCCCGGGGCGGATTTCGAGAGAGGCGCGCAGCCCGTGTGCTAGCAGGCTCAGCCCATGGGAGGGCGCAGGGCGTGTCCTGTTTGTCCTGGGCGCTCCTGCGGTGGGATCACTGCATGCAGTGGCCTTGCGACGGGGACAGGTGAACTCTGACGATGAGCGGAATGGGAACCTGGGGCCGAGCGAGTCCTTACCTACGTCGCCGGGAAAGGGTGGCAACCGACTCTGCAGTCGCTCCCCTCTGGGGGCTTTTTTTTTTGCTTTTGGGACAACACACGTCTTTCTAGTCTCAGTGAATGTGAATTGGGTTCTCTTTTATTTATGGGTGAAGGCGTCAAAGGTTATCATTTATCTTGGAGGCACACGGTATCCAATTTCAAAGAGGATTCTGAAATTTAATTTTATTTTACTACCATGGTATTCATTATATATTTAAAATGTTATGAAGTTAGGAATACAGGGTGGGGCGAAAGTAGGTTTACAGCTGCGAGTCCACGAACACAGAGTTCGTTCTTGTGGTACTTACTCAGTCTTGTATTACTCTCCATACGAACAACTGTGAGCCTACTCTTGCCCCAACCTGCATTTTTCAAGGCACTGCTCAGCCGTGGCCCAGGGCTGAGATATGAAAGGAGGGCGCTCTTCCTGGAGGGAACTAGTTCTGGAGATTAAGACGGTGGCTGCGTGGATGTCCGTGGGCCGTAAGAGTGCTGCTTCGCATGCCTGCGAGCTCGGACGCGCCGAACGCGTGGCCGCAGAGTGGCCGTCCTCGTCCTAGGCCATTGCCTGTGGGTCTGTCCAACGGGGACACGCACTGGCCGGCGCACTGGACACGGGACAGCCTGGGCAGCCAGCAGTGCACTCACATCGCCTGCTGTCCACACTCGGGTTACACTACAGGGCGCTGTTAGAAAGTGGTCTCACATTTTGCATCAAGATACAAATTCCTTTGCAAACTCTTTTTAAAACAGTTCTTTTGTCTTTTTTTTGGGGTGGGCGGGGAATAAATACCTATATGCAATTTCCATGAAAGAAGCAGAAATAAGAGCAACGTAGTTCATTAGGAGTAGGACGCCCTTTCCTGCCCCGCATCATCTAAAGCAATAGACGTTTGTTTATTCTTTCAAGAAACGTGTGTGTAGTTCCTGCTGTACATGAGGAAGGAAACCACGTTTTACAGAGTCACTCAGATCGGTCGTCACCACTGGCAGCTGTGTGGTGTTGAAAAGACCATCCACATCTTTCCTCATTTTCACATCCAGCTTGGCCACCGTGGCTATCCAGGTTCTCTATTAATTCATTATAGCTTTTCCTACTACTCTAAATAATGCTTGCTAATAGACATGGCCATTAGTCACTGTCTCCTTTTCAACCAGAATGTTTCAGCCTCGCTTGCCGTCCTTGGGGAAATGTGGCCGGTATTCTGTTTTCTAGCTGAACATTGACCTGCGTCATTTTTATAACTCACGCCGGACAAGGTAGAGAGAAAGGCCAGTTCTGGTCACCAAAAATTTATCTTTGTCTTTGTAGTAATGGTGAGAGCACTGAGAGTTTAAAAAATAAAACTTTAGGGAAGAAATGTTTCTGCAACTCCATTTGAATTAGCCACCAGTCTTATCACCGTCACCACAATAGATGGTCGAGATCTTTGGAAACAAACCAAAATAAACAACACCGAGATTTTTTAAAACAGCCTGCACTGAATTTAAGGATACTCAGATCGATTCATCACCCCAGGGTGTTCAAGGTCACTGACAAACTATCAGGCAGAAGTACAATGATGTTCACAGAGTAAGTCGTCTTCCACTCCGGAACCCCCCCCGCCACCACATCTACCCCACTAAGCAACCTGAATGCATGAACAAGAAATCCAAAGCTAATCACGATACTCACCTGGCGTTCCATTGCCTCTGGAACAAAACCAACGCTCTTTGTCACGGACCATAATGCCCTGCGCGCCCTCGCCCGACCACCTGCTCCCTGCGCCCCCGCCCCGCCTCCACCCCCTCCGCTGTCTCCCCTCCACCCACATCGCCCTTTCTCTGGCCGCGGCAGTGCATGCCGCGCCCGTTCTCCGCACTTTGAACTTAGACGCCTGGCTGTCCGCGACATCGTTCCGCCAGGCCCTCGCGCAGCCGCATCTTCCTCACTCTTCAGTTCTTGGGTCACGTATGACATTCTCAGACACGTCTTCCTGGGTGACCGACCCTCTCCACAGAGGGGTCTGTGACCCCTCTGCTGTGACCACAGTTGACGGTTATTTTGCTACTCATTTACGTTTTGATTGATGGTGTCCTCCCGCTGGACTAACAGACTCCCTTTCTCTGCCACCCTTACACTGTCTGCCTCCAACGTTGCACAGAAGGATGAACCCGAGTATTTCAAAAAGGTCACTTACTTGCGGAAAGGAGAAATCTGTCTAGTCCAGACAAAATGGGAAAGGGGAGAAACAAAAAAATGACCAATGCTCTTATTCCTTCTGCTCTATAGATGTGAATAATTTGCCTCACTGTGATTTAGGCACAGAAAAAAAAATATTTTCCTGGCTGGCATAGCTCAGTGGATTGAGCGCGGCTGGGAACCAAAGTGTCCCAGGTTCAATTCCCAGCCAGGGTACATTCCTGGGTTGCAGGCCATAAACCCCAGCAACCGCACATCGATGTTTCTCTCTCTCTCTCTCTCTCTCTCCCTCCCTTCCCTCTCTAAAAATAAATAAAAATAAATAAAATCTTAACAAAATATATTTTCTAGTAATTTTATAGTGACGGTTTGATTGCAACATTATTTTGAGACAGATCTGGAAACATATTGAATATTTTAAATGTAGGTGTAATTAACTCTTTACAAGCTAAACATCCCGGGTTGCTGCCCCAGCCAATATGAGAAGTGCCCATTAAGATGCTTCTGCAGTTTTTTCCCTGCCAGTTTGAAGCTCTAACAAATGTTTTCTTTTTTTGAATTTTAAAGAGCTCATTATATCCGTGTTTGAAAAGTTCAGTTCTTTTTCTGTAAAGATTGATCTCAGAATGAGGCTACAACCGAACTAGAGCTGGTGTGATAACACCATTCAAAAATGTTCTGTTGCGTAACACACATTAAGTTAAATGTTAACATCCATAAAGCCCGGAGAAGAATAGATTTTATTATATTTTCATTTCTTATTTAGAATCGTGTCATTTTCTTTGAAGTAGCTTCTTCACTTCCATGAGTCAGAGAACTCTGCTATGCCAATTTCTTTTCAGCCTTTCTAGATGTTAAACAATGCAGTTGGCTTAAGAAAGCAAGTCTCTTCATTTTCCTTTCAAAAGCCTGCACTGACTCTTTAAACATAAAAAAGTACATACATAATTTGTCATTTATTTTATAATGAAATAATAAATGTCAGTATGATTGTATAAGTATATAATAACATGTTCTATAATTATATAAAATAGTTATATATATTTTTTAAAGACCTTATTTATTTTTAGAGAGAGGGGAAGGGAAAGAAAAAGAGGGAGAGAACCATCAGTGTGTGGTTGCCTCTCATGCGCCCCCTACTGGGGACCTGGCTCTCAACCCAGGCCTGTGCCCTGACTGGGAATCGAACTGGCGACCCTTTGATTCATAGCCCACACTCCATCCACTGAGCTACACCAGCCAGGCTGTCTTTTTTTTGTTTAGGAAATTTTTGGAAAAAGATAATATTGCAAAACAAAACAAAAATGAATAAATACAAGCTTAGCATCGTCTGTCACACCTCTCAGAGTGACCATGACAGAGTCACCGCCAGCTCTTACAAAGTCAGTCAGTGCGCTGCCGCGGGTGGAGACGCCCGCGGTTTCCCAGGGAACCAGTAAGGCAGTGCATTCGCATAAACAGCCCCCATTGTTAAATGGCTACTGGAGTAAATAAATAAATGAATAAATAAATAAAAAGTAGCCCAGGGCACTGCTGCTTTGCAACTTTGCAGCAGCTCTCCGAATGCCACGCGAAGGTGAAGCAAGCAGACCGAGTTCACGTCTCGCCTGCAGAACCTCCGCCCGACCAGCAGGCAGATGCACGGGCCCGGCTGAGCCAGCTCATTTCGCTACAAGTTCTCCGGCCTCAGCACGGAGCAGTCTCCGAAGACTTCTCCTCCGCGTGCGTGCTCGGCGGCGCACGCAGGTATAGCGAGGGCACACTCGGATCATGGGGCGGCCGGGATCTCACGACTCGGGCGGGAACATCTGTGCTGACGCCGCGTGGTCCGTGGGGAGGGAACCCGCTGACGCCTCACGGGATTCTAGA